GTATGTGATTTATTTATATTTATACTTATTTTATTACACTAGTCTGTAATTATTTCTATTTGGTGTAACCTCAAATAATTTTCTTCTGAACTATGTAACTTTGTAATGATTCATAAAAATATAGCTTAAATGTTTCACAAACAACAAAAATATCATTACTTTTATGGAATTGATCGCTATTAGAGGTTACTTTCTAGTCCTATTTTGAAATGATCCTTCAAAAATAATACTTGTGTGTACCTATTTATTTATTCTGCTGATGCTAAAGTGCTATTCCAATCCAGCAAGACTCAAATTAGATTATTTAAATTTTCTATTTGTACTTCCAGATATCAAACAATTAGCCATTCACTTAAAAAAAATTCAGATTTCCCATTACCTACCACTAGTAAAATTGAGAGAAAATATTCTGATTAACCAACTCTACTACTTTATAATTATACAGTATCACATTTGTAAAATCCCAACACACAAAATTCAGAAATCTTATTTGTAAAATAGTGTTGAAAATTAAACAAAATGGATTAGTATTATAACAACTTCTCTCTGTCTGGGTAACTTGATCAACAGGTTTTCATTTGCATGCAGCATAATCTTAACTGAACACCACCTCATCTAGGATCAGAAAGGAATCCCCTCCAGGACAAATGTATTCTTACTGCTGCAAATATGCTCTAATGGTTTAGGTTTGATGTACTAACTTTATTATTTGAAATAGAGAAAACTCCTGTTTCATTTTTTTTCATTATACTTTTTATAACGAAGTGAGACAATGAAAAATGTTTCTTTATGAAACATTTTTCATTGTCTCACTTCACATTTTACTTTTCAGTTCAACAAATTATGTACCATAGGATTTCTGCTAAATGTAGTTATTCTATAAATATATTTAAGAAGTTGTTCTTAAATTAGAAATTGTTTCTTAAAGCAAGTAAAAAAAATCATTTTCAAGCAATTTTAGAGCCATTCCAAATTTGAAACAGACTAAGCTCAAAATGGGACAATTTTAAACATAAAACACTCCTAGAATCATTGAACACTCTAGTCTACACACATTAAATAATTGTTTTTCACTTGAACTGGGGTGCTTAATACTCAAATAATTTATAATACAAAGGATTTTCCATACCTCTTCTATACAACAAGTTCAAAATTTAATATATTCAATGAAATCTTATGATCAATTTATATGAAAGATAATACTATTAAAGCAACAGGTTTTTACTAGTTTTATTTACTTTTATTCATCAAATTAATAAGGCCACTGTTTGCATGTTTTTATAATGCTAACATGTAAATAATAATACTAAAATTTTAGTCAAATTATTTCTTTGTGCAAGCAGATCATAAGAGTCGCTTAATCACAGAATGGCGCCTGAAGCAATTTTAGAAAGGAAACAAAAACATGTTTTTAATCGTCTCAAATTATTAACACTGAAGCAGTTAAAATAGGAGATCAAATTCCATTCAATAGAGTTCATCAGTGTTCAATAGAGACAAGAAATCTTTTGGACTATCACAATGAACTCTCCTCTGAATTATCCCACTTGAAAAAATAGAACTTCAGTCATCAGACATATTACCTAAAGTTCCTATTATTTCAGTGACTCATATAGTGCAGTCTAATTACTGTTTTAAATAAAGTTTGTGGAGATAGTCTGGCAGGAAAGTCCTTGTTGTTCACAGCACAATACACAAACAAGCATCATGAAGAACCAGGTTCAGATAATAGACTACCACTTCCTTTTCACAATTGGGAGAATGATAGCCATGTCTGATGACATCTCCACAGACATTGTTAAAAGAGGATTAACACTGTAAATGCTGCAAATGGTAATATGTATCATAGAAAGATGGGGAGGGGAGAATCAACTACTTTTAAAATAGTAACAATATACGTATTTGATTTTGAACGTAAACACAGTTTTTAAATGAAGCCATTTCAGAACACTGGCCTTCACTGTAAAGAAAGCAATACTAGCAGATAATGCCATACCAATTTATGAAATTTATCATACTCTGAATAACTTTTAGAGAGCAATTCTTAGCAGATTACTGGAATATTGATAATATTATCACCTTCCATTATTATGTCAAAGATAATCAATGTATAACAATTATTTTTTTCTATCAAGTATCCAAAATCAAAAGATTTTACATAAGAAACACTGTCCTGCGTTGAAATCCAGTTTCAGCACTATATTTGACTGCAAAAAAACAGCTGATAAAGTATCAAGTATATTTCAAAATGTTTGCTTGTTTTCTTGCTCGTTTAAATGATCTGCTTTCTCATTTATAATTACAAATAGTTATTTGCATTTTTAAGCTATCACAACCACATTAAGCATTCACATTTATCTCACCAGAACTGAGAATGACGCTCATTCACAAATCAGGTTGCCCCGGTGTTTGACTCACAAGATTAAAAAAAGAAATCCCATGATTGAAGTGGTAATTCAAAAGCATTTCTTCTCTACTTCTTAATGTTTTCGTCCTTTATTGTTTAAGCCATGAAGAAGCTATTGCTGGTAAGGGTGTGAAAGTTAATCCAATTATAAGATTCCCTATAAGCATCACTCCTATATTGCCAATTTTAGACAGTACTTTAGAAAATGAACCTTAAACTTTCATTGCACACATAGGAGCATTTTGCAGAAACATAACTTTGTCATGTGTTAAAGAATGATAGGCAGATACAGCACTTCTAAAAAAATAAGCATAAATTCTATAAACTTTTAAAATTAAAGCACTATTGTTCTGTGAAAAATTCAAAATACAGGAAATGCTACTGAATCACATAAGAGTTATTTATGGAATTAATACACGAAAAGATTCTGTCATAAGTATAAAAGTCCATTTAAAAATTATCTTTGGATGTCCTCCAACACTGTGCTTCAATGTTCACCAGAAACTTCCATGGATTCAGAAGAAATAGCATGCTTGTTTATAAAGGCTTAAGCAGGAAATGAACTACACAGTACGTTGGCCACTCCAAATATTTCTTCCATCATATATCTATTCACTTTCAATCAGCCAACCTGAGAGAGAGGTAATGGATATATCTGCAGGGAAAGGTGGGACTTCCAAACACTATGTTGCTAATTCTCATTTCACAGCACTTAAATGACTATATGCATGTCTTAAAAATAACTTTCATTGTATTCCAAGCCAATTTTATGTAAGAGAAATTTTCAGTGTTTAACTGCAGCATCAGAGATTGAAAACTCATGCTAATTTTTAAATGGTAGAGGCAAACTTTTTTTAAAGACTGCTTTGTATTTCTTAAGATCTTAACAACATGCACACTGAAAAAAGTTGAACTAATTAGGGTACCATAGCTGAAGAAGTAAACAGTAATTCTACAAATATAATATGCACAAACTAGCTTGTTTTAAAATGCCAGGCACAAGTATATCAGCCCACCATAACAAATTATACATCAATTTACAATATAATGAATACAGATGAAGCAAGTCTGAAGGGACCAGTATTCAGTTTAAAAATGTAAAACAACTTACTTTATTTATATCAAAGAGGTACAACTACCATCAAAAATATTTAGATAAGTTTCAAAATTCAGAGGGGGAAGACAGTATTGTGTTAATCCAAGCAGTAAAGGAAAAACTTGCAACCTACATAAAATGTTGAAAACAAACTTTTTTTTTAATCCTGACACAGGCTCATAAAGAATTCCCAACTAAGATTTAACATTTTCTATCCTGTATCAGAGGAGATGCATTTTTTGGGAGGGCTGGTGTGAACAAAAGCAGAGTCCTAAATCAAATCCCTTTTGCCTTCAAAAACACCATGCATGCAATATCCACTTTTCTTTTGTCTGAAGATTTAAAACCAAGATCCACGGGTCTCCCGACTTATTAAAATGGGAACGTGTAAATTTTGTGATGTCAGCAAAAGAGACGACGCCTGAAAGAACAGTTGCTGCTTTGGTTAAAAAAAAAAAAAGCCCCAAAGCTGATGTTAGTGGTCAGGGATTCAGGCCCTTTGTTTAGAAATAGATGCCTTTCTATTCCTGAAGGAAAGATGCCACTCAAAAATAATAGAGAGGAATAAACACAGAGTGGAACCCAGAGAGCCCCTACAATGTGGAAACATTTAACTTTACATTTGCTTTACATGTGTGCTCAAAAATAAGCCCCCTTCGGTTCAGTGAGGTTCCCCCCTAAAAGATCGAGACACAGCATGGTGGCTCCTAGAGCACCCCGTTAAAAAAGTATATCCTGCCGCACAACTCCTCAATCTCACAATGGTGGTCCCTCTATCCGGAACACAAGAACTATACCAAAGAAAGGAAAGTAACTATGGACTAGTTGTTTCGTCAGCGGCTCTTCCCGCCCTCTCCCGCAGAGAAGCTGCAATCTATTAGGAACAGTTAAGGTGCCTCCGATAGCTTTGCGTCTCTCTCTCTCCCCTCCCCCCCCCAATGTATCCCCCGCTGGTTACAGAAGACAGGTTGAAATGTTGGGGGGAAAGATATGCAAATACAGGTGTTTCCACACCGCCCCATCCCTGAAAGGCCGAAGGAAGCCCAGCCATTGTGGCAAAGAGTCTATTAGCCAGGATTGGAGCAGCGGGATTAGCAACACTGAGACGAATTTTGCTGAGAGGAAAGAAGCGCCAGAGAGAGGGGAACCCGCACCACAAAAAAAAAAAAAAAAAAGGCGGGCAAAAGCAGGAGCATGAGAAAGCCGCGCGAAGCTTCTTCCCAGCCGGGCACAATCTCCCAATGCTGCAAGGGGACTGAGCTGGGCACGAAGCCCCCTTTGTGCCAGAAAGACGCAAGTCTGAAGAGAAGGAAGGGAACCCAGGCACGGCTCGAGGCTCCGCTCCTCCATCTTCCAGCCAGCTTCCACCACCCCCCCCAGACCGACCCACACAGACGAGTCCGGAGCTGCCACTGGCGGGCAAGCGAGCCGCCTTTTGCAGGCCAGGCGGAGGGGCAGGGCTGGGCTCGGCTGCCGCCGCTCGCGACTCCCGCTCACCTCCTCGATGGCCGTCACGGTGTTCCGGCACTGAACCATCCGGGTGGTGAAGTTGGAGGCGGTGGGCGACTTGTAATCCTCATTGGTCTCGGACACGAATTCCGACACGGAGATCTGGTCTGGCATGGCGGGGAGGGAGGGAAGGAAGGAAGGAAAGGGAAGAGTAAGGAGAGCGGCGGGGCGGCTCCAGGAGAGGAGGGGACGGGGAAAAGGGATTGGAAAGGCAGCGAGCGAGAGGCAGGCAGGCAAGGCAAGGGGGGGGAGCCTCCCCGCCTTACATCGTTCAACAAACAGCCGCTGCTGCAGGGCTTTCTCCTTGCAAGCTAAGCAGCTCGGAAGCGTTAAGGAGCTATTATTGTGACCTACGCGCAGATACACCCAGGCAGGCACCCACACGGACACAGACACACACAAACACACACGGAAATGCCCTAGTTTTGGGAAGGGAAGGGAGACCGAGCGAGCCACGCCGCCCTGCCTTCTAATCACGCACACGCGGGGGAGGGGGGTAAGCCACACCAGTACTCCTCCCACAATCACGCACTGGGGGAGAACCCAATGCAGCGCCCGCCCCTCCGAAGGCCAGAGCAGGTTGTTGCGCCCTGATAAGAACCAGGCGGGGAGGTGGTAAGACCCGGGGGGGGGATTAATTGGGGAAGGGTATCTGCACTCCTGGGCCCTGGTACTCTGGCAATGCTGTGGCTCTGCCCCCTTTGATTTTCAATACCATCTTGCAAGCTAGGGAAAGTTGGAAAGGGATGCCCCTAGAGATAGCTAAACTGGAGTCTGGGTGTGTGCGTAGGGTCTCACCTGTACTTCAAGCAAGTGTTCCTAAATGTTTTGTACTAACTAGGGGGGCATGATAGTAGAATTGTGGTATTTGAGAGGTTGCCACAAAGGAAGGGGTCAACTTATTTTCCAAAGCACCAGAGGGCAGGACAAGAAACATGGAGATTAATCAAGGAAAGAAGCAACCTGGAATTAAGGATAAACTTCCTAACAGTGAGGACAATTAACCAGTGGAACAGCTTGCCTCCAGAAGTTTTGTGTGCTTCAATACTGGAGGTTTTTAAGAATAGGCTGGACAGCCATTTGTCTGAAATAATATAGGATCATCTGCTTGAGCAGGGGGTTGGACTAGAACAGTGGTTCTCAACCTTTTTAATGCCGCGACCCCAAACCGGTCGTAAGTTGAGGACTACTCAACTGGTGCAGCACCGTTTGCAGAATGGGACTTTTAGCGGGCTCAGCAGGGCAGAGACAGCCTGGACAATTCCTATTGGCTTTTGAAAGCCAATAGAATTAGACTCTATTCAAGATAGTCTATTCTATTGGCTTTCAAAAGCCAATAGAATAAAAGGGAGTAGCACAGCTAAGGAAAAGGGGAAAAAATGGCAGACTGCGTTGTTTGGTGACCCCCGTGAAATGGTTGTTCAACCCCAAACGGGGTCCTGACCCACAGGTTGAGAACCACTGGACTAGAAGACCACAAAGGCCCTTCCAGCTATATTCTGATTGTATAGCTAGTAGGATCTACTCTTTTGTAAGTAAGACTGGCTTCCCCTGAGGGTGGGCTCTACTATGTACTTTCAGTTTCTTGCAAGTGTGAGTTTTCACCTTTACTGAAACCACACTCTGTTTGGATTTTTCTGAAGAGTCTGTTCACACAGCCCTGAATCACAAACTACATTAGTCAGTCACAAGCTTTGGTGTGAATCCAATCTGTATGATTAATAGCATAGTGTGTCATCAGGTTAATTTCCAAATTGTGGGTGTGTTGTGTGAACGTAACCAGTTACTAGTAAAGTACAAATGAATTATGTACATAAGTGTGTGAATAACTCCGTAAATGTCATCTTATATTTTGCCATGGTTTTGAAAACAGGAATAAACAATGCCATGAAAATAATTAATGTCTGCACAAGATCTTGATGGAAGAATGAAATTATTGGAAAAAAGACTTTTAAATGATGTGCTAAATATATTGAAATTATATTCATAGTAATTTATTCACCCATGCCATTTAATAATCATTTTACATTGCCATCAATAAGTGATGAATACAGCAAGATATCTAACAGGAAACATATTTTGTACAGTAATAACTGTGTTGGTAGGCAGCCAGTTTGGCAGAAGCCATCTAGTGTACAGGTAACTTCCCCATCCATTTCCAAAGTAAAGCATTCTCGATCCATGGGAAAAGGTGTATAATTCTTTGGAAGTGAACCAGTGATGTGATGGGAATACACTCTAAAAAATATGTAGAGCTAGACAAATCCTGTATTGACTTAATTCTAATGAATGCTAACGTAGAAGAAAGCAGTTACGATAATATTGCTCTCAGCATATGTAATTAAGTTCTCCTTCTGTCATTCAAATGTTGCTGTTTAATAATAGTACTTGCAGGGAGAGTGAAGGTGACAGCAGAATCTAAAACCCTTGAGACCATTGATTTAGTAAAAAAAAGTAAGAGAATGTTGGCAGCATTTTCCAAAGAATTAGCAAGGCAGGAATTATTTTCCTTTGAAAGCAGGAAAAGGTCTTATATTGTTTCACTGTGTCATATAAATCCATAATGTTGGGAAGAACATGGTTACTAGTGAATAAATACCTCATGCAAACAGCCAATGGTGAACGGGCGTGTACAGATAGTCTGTTTCCAAAGTTATGACAACCGCAACCTCATTCTCCAATCAAGTGATTGCATTTAGGGCAATTGGCAACCAGCTCACCCTTATGACTGTTTGTAGCATCCCTCAGTCACATGATTGTGATTTGTGGTTATTTTTTGTGGGTTTCCAACATTTTCTATTTCTGACAAATACCATCCATGGATTCACTTAATGGCCTCTACAAAAAATGTGGAAAAATCAGTTCTGGTCACATGATACCTCAACATAACAGCTACAACAACTTATGAACTTAATTCTGGGCCCAATTACAGTCATATGTCAAGAATTACCTGTATTACAGGCTAGTTGTAAAAAACAATAGTCTCTCTTAAGAAGACAAAATAAATTAATTAAGCCAGGTGTGTCCAACCCATAGCCCAGAGACTGCATGCCGTCCTGGATAGCTAGTTATGCAGCCCCACAAGATAATAAATATTTAAAAAATAAAGGAAGTTTGTTATTTATGTACATTAATTATATTATACATGTTACATGTGGCCCAAGGCAATTCCTCTTCACTTAATGCAGCCCAGGCAAGCCAAAAAGTTGGACACCGATGAACTAAGCAATGCCTTAAAGCTTGTGAAGCACAAAACAGCATTTCTCAGTCTAGATAGAACTGTTAACGTAAATGCTGAGCAAGTATCTGCCACTCTTGGGATCGGGAATAAAATGGCTATATTTCCATTGACTCAAAAAGATCTGGAATTTAAACTCCAGAGCAGAGAAAGAAAATGTCAGAGAGAAAGACCAAGATTGCTGTGTTCTGCAATAGACAAGATTTGTGCATAAATGGGTTCTGTCTTGTCTACATACAGTAAATTCTCTAGCCATTTCATGTATGTGAGCTTCTCTGCTTTGCAGTTTCTAAATATGCTCATCTGCAGTATCTACTGTATCGAGTTTTATTGCTATGCCTGGCGTGAAGTCTTGAAAGCTAATCATTGATTACAAAAAGAAGGTAGCCAAAATATGCAGAGTTTCTGAAATTCTTTCCGTCCCCTTAATAGGAGCACCTGTCTGGGTCACATGAGAAGGAGGAAGGGAATTTAAGAATGGAGCAATCAGAAACTGTCTTAAGATATTCCCCAATGAACTGTTCCACAGGATACTTGGGAGGATTTCTTCTAGATTTCTTTCCGGTGCAGCGCTCAGACATCTTTAGCCCACTTTTAGATTCAGTCTTTATTTTTTGTGAGTTTTCCTCAATAGCAGCAAATTCAATCAATTCTATTTAATTCGATGTTAAGATATTAAATTTAGTAGCTGGAACAGTAAAGTGTACAATGGGCCAGAACACACAGCTATAGTTGATTGGTTGGAGAGTGTTAGCTCATGCATGAGGCAATCTACGCTATGATAGGTTGCTGTGGCTGTAGAGAGGGAGTTTTCTTTTTTTTTCCCCGCCCCCCCCTCCCCCGTCTGTGTTCTGTATACTGACTGATTTACCTCATGATATTCCTGTGTTCCTGATTATCTTGCATGCTGTAAATATTAATGTTAAATGTATTTATTTACATAAGACTACAAGTTTGTGTCAAGTCTCTGACTTCATCGGGACAATTGCTGCATAATTCCTTGACATTCTATCAATTGATTATCTGAGTGAATCAGAACAAAATCTGCAAATTCACCAATATTCCTTGCATTAAGCTGTGCAAAGAGTTGTGAGATAAGGCTACATATTTCCAGTGAAATCCACAAAATACATGTATTAAAAGAACAGCATAAGATAGTGTGTGGTTATCAAAAGTGTCATTTTCAGCTGCTTTTCTTGAATGCACCAATAAAGGCCTCATCATACTGAATGAAACTGAGTTGAATTGAAGGGGACAAATAGAGGTTCAGTTGCTGCCTGCTGAAGTAACTCCCTGCTTGGGGGAGAGGGTGTCATCCTTTCATAGGGAGAGCTCTGCCTTCTCATCCATCCTTTCAATGCATCAGTCTGGGAATTTGACTAAAATAGTGTACAATGATGAGGTTGTATTAATGACTAGTTTTGTTTTAATAAAACAATAGTCAGTCTGTGAATGAAACAGGCAGTCTCTAAATTTGATAAATAAATAAAATAAAAAATAAGTAAAACGTGCTTATCTCATATTTTCCAAAAATAATTGTCCGAATTTCCTTAATATCTGACCCGAAATTTGAAAGGTTTCCATTCTACATAGCAAATACAGGGATATGATAGTGCCAGGAAATCCTGCACGAACAGATGTATTCAGTAGAGCCAGGTGCGAGAAGTCAGGAACCAGGATAGAGTTCAAAAGTGCAGGTATTCAACTTATTCAAACACAATGACACTAAAAAGTGTTATGATCTGTTTTTCACAGTTATGTCCCTTTCAGCATCAAGTCACATGATCAAAATTCAAACGAACTAATTCATACTTAGACAACCTCACACACGTCATACAACCCACCTTGGGTTCCATCCAAAAAAGGTGCCAGAACTCCGTTCTGGGCGTTCTATGAGAAAAAAAGCACTGCTTACAACAGTTGCAGTGTCCTGGGATCATGTGATCCCATTTTGTAATCTGACCAGCAAAGCCAATGGGGAAACCAGATTCACTTAACAACCGTGTTACTAACTTAACAACTGCAATGATTCACTTAACAACCGTGGCATGAAACATTGTAAAATGGAGCAAAACTCGTTTAATCAATGTCTTGCTTAGTAACAGAAATTTTGGGCTCAATTGTGGTCATAAGTTGAGAACTACCTGTATTGCAAGTTTATTCCATGTTACTTATCCACAAGATTCTGAACTATTAAAGGTCAAGGCAAATTGGCACCAG